TTTCCAATGGCGTATCTTTGTTCGTGTTCCAATTTATTTGTTCCACTATCACAAAAGAGTTGATTCGATTTAAATCTAAATTTTAACAGGAAAAATTCTGATAGTTTATAAATTGAACTATAAAATTCCTTTGTTTTTTTCCTCAATTTTATCCAAGACTCTTTCTGTTTTCGATTTGTTTAAAAAATAAAAAGGTAAAGAACCATCGAGATCAGTTGAGCTAACAAAATTCTAATATAACAGAAAGTACTAAGCACAACTCAAAAACGATTCTTCACATTCTTATTAAATTTTAAGTTTTTTAACAGTGATAGAGCCCGCTTTAAAAATACCACGTGAAATACCACGACCACACAGAAGACAAGCGTGAAGTGGAAGCAATTCCGCGTTTCGTCTGATGAGTGTGCGTCCCGGAGGCCTAATTTAGTCCTCTTTCCCTTCCCACCCTTTTTCTTATAAGGAAAGGATGGGAAGTGGAATTGGACTTTCCGGATAAGAGAATGCATGGAAATGTTTAATTTCTGTGCATCCTTTCCTCAGTCGATTAAAGGTAGGCAACGCATATGCAATTGCGTATGTCTGTGGCCGCTCGCTCATTTGCCACCATATGATATAAAAAAAGTAGGCACAAAAAGAACAAAGCTTAACAAAGAACAAGATTTCATAAAAGTGTAAACTATCCCATTGAGAACCTCTCTCTTTTTTAAAACTCTGTAAATAAGTATTACGTAATCTAACACTTTGACCGTTATTTCTTCAAATAACTTTAGCATGCATTAAATTTTAAGAGCAGAAAGAATGTCACCCCGGGGGAAAGGAGTACATAAATTTAATCTTGCTAACTGAATAAACAGAAAGGAGCGTAGGACACGACAACGATATTAAGTGAAATGCAAATTGAAACTTGTTCGTACGAAACGTTGTCTTGCGACTTGAGTTAAGGATACAAGGATTCCATGCATTTTATGTTATTATATCTGTTGCCCGCGACTCTGTTCGCGCGGAATTAAATAAAAACTTAATTAGTAGCTTGTGTTCTGTGTGTGAACAGCGAGATCTACGAAGACGTTCTGGTAATTTTTTAACCTGTTTTGCGAAGATGTATATTTTCCATGTAAGCTTGTTTGATCGATTGGTCGTTTAATAGCTTGTAAGATAAAATAATACGATCATCCAATTACCTCAGCTCAGTGGGCAGTATAAAGAATCCTCACAAGAAAAAAGGCGATAAAAATATCTTACCGTTGTACGGCATCCCAATTTTTTTAATGTAAACGTATAATTTGAAGGGATTTTTAGATATTGCGTGGATTTCGAATTCCCAATATTAGTAACTAATACCAAGAGTTTTATAAAGACTGTGATTTGACGTTGTTATTTAAACTACTTGCTGTTTTAATATTATATTAAATTTCATATTTATATAATTTTGGACACTATTAGTTAGAATCAACTAGAGCGAATGGCGCGCTTTCGTGACCAAGTCAAGTGTCAGATTGATTAGTGAGGGGACATAAACGTTGACATTTTAATAAGGCTAGTGTTGCGCCGATACACCGGCACAGTGTCGGATTATCTTCCTAACAATAATTATTAAGAAAAATTAAATGAATACCTGTGAAAATGTTACATAAAACTACGCAAAGTTTCTTCTTTGAGTTCCAAACACACGAAACAACAAAATGCTAGTTGCATTACGGCGTTAATTAAATGAGCGAGCTTTTGCTTTTAAGAAAATGAATTCCTTCCTGTTTCTAAGAAAAGAAGATTAAAACATACTAGAAACTTTATACTCCTTGTTGATGAATATAATGCAAAAGTCAAACTATTTTTAACTAAAATAAAGAGTAACACACAATTTTTTTATATAAACAAGGAGACAAACAAGCTGTATAAACCTTAATAAAAAAGGTAATCGACCAGAGGACACACAGATACGTTTAAGGAAGAGTGTGTACTCGCTTCTTAAAGGATCCTAAGTCGTAGGCAACGGATATTTTACTGTTACTATAATTAATTGTTTGAATAGTTTAACACTTTCAATGTCACATCGATTTTCATTTACTAAATTGAATCGCAAGAAAAATCACTGGCACTGAACATGTTAAATGTCATGAAATAAGTAAAATTATACATTTAAGAAACGTTAACTTAGTCGAAACTAACGTGAGTAAGTAACTTAATTTTTATAATGTATGTATTCTGTGAAACAAAATAAAAAAAAAAAAACTAAATTCTTCGATCTTTTTTACCCACTTTCTAAATGAGAATCAACCTCTTTTTATACATTAGTATTGAAGTTTGTAAATAATGGGATGAACACATTTATTTCGTTACATAAAAAATAAAATAAAAACATTCACTAGCCCCCAGAAGACTAACGTAAAATCTGCAGGGTATTCCGTAACAAATGGATGTTATGAGCATCTTGTTTATTATCTTATCAAGTTGGATATTTTTTGAGCCTTCACAAATAAACTAACGTACCAAGAACATTAATCAACAATATACGTAGCCAGGAAAGAAGAACTAAAGAAATAAGTTTATAGTTTTCTTTTTTAATTATTTTAATGAGGAAGCAGCAGACATTTGTTTATTGTAATTGTGATTTTAAACGTATCCTTAATTACCATTCCATTCTTTTGCCACATAATCTGGTGCAGTATTTCCAATTCATAAAAAATATGAAATACTAGCTGTCGCCTGCAACTCCGTTCACGCAGGATTAAAAAAACTTAATTAGTAGCCCAAGTGTTCTTCCAGATTATGTTCTACAAATATGCCAAATTTCAGCGAGATCCTTGCAACACCTTTGGAGACCTTTAAACATCTATCCATTCATTCATTCAAACATTGCCATTTATAATATTAGGAAGACATTAAATTATTCAAACTTTTGTGAGACATTATACTAAAATAATTTAAAACGGCTAAACACTCACGTATATACGTCCGGTGGCGGCACCGACTAGTTTCGAGCCCATCGTCAAGTGAGCGACGGGCCGCGTTCGCGAAATAATACCAGTACCACTCATCCTGATGAAGGGCCCCCGATGGGCTCAAAACTAGTCGGTGCCGCCACCGGACGAATATACGTAGTGTTTAGCCGTTTTTATATCAGTTTATTAGTAAGATATGATTTGTTTTTCTAGTTTTTGGTAATAAAAATACTATCAAAAAGAAACATCTAGTGCCGACTGTATACTAATTTTATTTTAGATTATGATTTTCAATAAATATTATTTGAATAAAAATATTAACAAAGAAGATTTTCAGACAAAATATTTCATTCAACAACAAAAATGAAACATGACTTCTTAATATAACTCTTACATTTTGCGAAGTGTAAAAATGTATGCTGTCAATAAATCAACAAAAGCCTTTCAGTAGAAAGAAAACGAAAATGTTATTTATGGCTTAGAATCAAAGTAGGATTAAGAAATGTACAGAGATATTTGTATCTTTAGTGTGGGTTCTTTTCTTAGTATTTTCGTACTGAGAAATAGAATTCAATCTCATTTATTATAGTGCTTGTTAATAATATTGGTTCGAAATTATTTTAAAACGTCTCTGAGCATTTCATCTGATGATGGTTATACCACAGAAATACGAACACAATATCTCAGAAAATCTCATAAAGACTTACATATATTAGTAAATTATTACAACTAAAGTAAGATACAAATATTATAAATGCGAATGTTTAGATGGATGGATGGATTTTTGTTTGAACGTATCTCCAGAACGGCTGAATAGATCTTGCTGAAATTTGGCATAGTTGTAGAACACAGTCTGGAAGAACACATAGACTACTATTTTTTTTTAAATTCGTGCGAACAGAGTCACATGACTAAAAGCAACTTTAATTGAAGCAGTTGTTTCTTCGATGTTGAAATTTTATCGCCACCTAAAATCTTCGAAAGAAAAAGGTCTGTGTAAAAAAATTGGGTTGACTTGTAGTGATTTATAATGGTCGATCAAGATCGGTGTCAAAGCGTGACAAGAACTATCACAGGAATAGAGTATGTTACATTTTACAATCATTCACAGAAAGTATTTTGTTATTTTTCCTTAAATATAAAGTTATATCGAGATGAAAAATGACTGAACAAAATACCTCGCTTTTCAGCCGACTTCAAAAGGAGGAGGTTACCAATTCGTCTGTGTTTTTAGGTGTTTTTCAAATGTAATGAGAATGAATTCAAGAAAATTAATGAGACTGTTTGCAGACCATACGTTCAAGAAATAATGTTCTAGTTTAATCTACATGTTGTGATAATTAATTCCATAATATAGCTACTATAGCTGGTGAATTTCGTAAGAAAATACATTGTTCCCGGATAATTAAAGAACACTCTGTACGTTCCAGCCAATTTTCTTTACACGTCTCATGAGGACTAGACTAGAGATGTAAGCGAAATGAAAATCAAATATGTGGAAATGTGGATAGAAATATATATGGATATACTCCTATAATAATTAAATATTTACTCAATACTAAGTACGAGAGATTAATTGTAATTTTACGTTGATATACTAGCTGTTGCCCGCGACTCCGTCCGCGCAAAAAAAAACTTAAATAGTTAACTAAGTTCTTCAAGACTTTGTTCTCTAACACATTGTTTGACATCTATGCCAAATTTCAGCAAAATCTATGTAGCCGTTCTGCAGATACGTTCTAACAAATATGCATCCATCCATCCAAACATTCGCATTTATAATATTAGTAATATAATTAACTTAAAAAAGAGCTAGTACTAGTTTTCTACTACAACAAAGCAATGATACAAAGAGGATATTATAAATTACTTACCGGTTATTTGAAACATTATAAGTAACGAAGTGTTCTATCATGAAAAGTTGCATAGAAATCTTATTACGTGTACATTCTTCATTGCTAAGAAGATAATTTTTAAACCTATACTTAGATTTTGTCAAGATCTGATTATAATATCGATTTACGCGTTATTCGTCGTGGCTAGGTATAAAAGAGGGTCACAGGTCAGCGGAGACTGAGTCGGTTCTTGAATCTGTCTTGATGTGCTGCTTCCAACTTGTAACAGTCAAAAGACTGGAATTGGAATTTTACTGACATACTGCTATTCATCTGGTCTTCTGGTCCAGTTTCATCACACGTGAGTATTTGTATTGCACAAGAGTTTTTAAACATACGAGTATATTTGACTATCATGGAATTAAAGTTGTCTAATCTTACTAACAAAATATTTTACTAATGTTACAAATACGAATGTTTAGATGGATGTTTGTTTGAGAGTATCTCGAGAATGACTGTATGGATTACGCTAAAATTCGGCATAAATGTAGAACGTAGTCTGGAAGAACTCGTAAGCTACAATTTTTTTCTAATTCGCTCGGACGGAGTCACGGGTGACCGCTAGTACAAAATAAACATTTTCAGATAACAAATGAAACGCGTTTGAACTCATTATGTATTAATGAGTGTACGTTGTATTGATATTAAACATTTATACGGTAGTAAGATAGAATAAATATAGTTTGGATTTATTTATCGTTTTTATGTTCAACGATTCTGATAGATGGATTTAGCCAAAAATGTTAGTATAAATAGACCACTTTTGTTTAGGTTAGCCATTTATAGATTTATCCGTCTTAAGATAAATAGTGGATTATAAAAAAACTAAGGATTAATAAATTGATTATTCATAGAAACTTCTAAGCGCTTAGAAAAATGTAGTACTTTAGTATATTTATTTAAGAAACCTAGCGGTTTTTTTAAAACTTATTCCGAACATAAAATAGTTTTTAAATGTCATCGTGCTAATTAATGTTATTTCTTTAGTAACTGAAAGAAACTAATTAAGACTAGAAATGTTTTATAAAAATAACAGAAAATTTTAATGAACTTCTTGATTTTAATTTGTGTAACTTTTGCTCATCTCTTTGATACTATTTCTATGACATAACAAGTTATTCTCAACGTACTTAATTTAGCGTATTGTAACTTTTCGACTATATTGAACTGTGATTTATTTACAGAACGGAAATAAAGGTCCTACTTTTATATCTTTTAGCTCCGACTCCTCAGGCGACGAACATAAAATCCAAGATGGCGGTGGACAGCTTAGACCCAGGCGCGGCGTCAGCGCCCGCGTGGGCGGGAAAAATCGAAGCGTATGGCTCAAACCACACCGTTATTGACCAAGTTCTTCCTGAAATGTTGCATCTGATTGACCCGCATTGGTTAGTAAGAAATACTAATAATTTATGCTTCGAAATCGAGTTGAAAATTCAGATTCTAAAAGTCTCAATGTTCTATGATTGATAAAATATAATTGTTCTTAATTTCAATTTATCGATCGGTTAATACTATTACTATACGTTAAAGTCGTAGCGATGTACAGTCAGCGTCATATAGATCGTAACAGACAAGATATGCAAATATATAGGTACATCAAAAGTAATCAATTATATCGGTACAACAAAAGTCCTCAAAATAATAGATACATTCATCCTGCTCAAATACATCGGTACATGCACAGCGTCAAATATATGAGTACATGCAAGATGCTCATAAATATCGTAGCAGCCACAGCGTCATAAGTAACGAAGCAGTCAAGGTGCGCAAAAATATCGGTACATTTGACAAAATTGAACTCTATCTCTATATACTTGTGATACAATTTGGAATAAACTACTTCTGTTACACTCATTTGACACTTTGTATCAAACCATTTTTCAAAATTTACTAAAAGTGTTCGACGCGGATGACAGATATTAGGTAGATAAAACCAACATCAAATTTAAGTTTGTTATCATATATGCTAGTTTGGTCTCGTGGCCTTACCGTTCGCCGCCGTTGGTACGTAAGGTCGGCGGTTCAAATCCCAAGTCACTATTTTTTTTTTATATTTAAACTTTTTAATTTTAATATCGAAGCACATGTAAATAAACTCTATCGCCGTAGTTATTAGGTACTTTTTGATATTGCCTTGGACTAATGAGTTTGACCGTTAAAGTACTTTTCTATTTCAAACAAAAATGAAGGAGATAAAGCGATGCTATTGGCATGTAATTGGTTTATTACTCATGTTTGTTAAACTTGTACCGGTAAAAATATCACGTTACCTTTTACTGATACTGATTATATTTACGAAACAAAGAAAATAAAACTGAATGTCAATATCCAAAATACATCAAATTTTTGGTCGACTGCAATAAACATTCCAGTGTGCGTGGGCGCGCACACATATGTAGATAACACTTGTACGTATAGTTTCCGCGCGTACCATTCTTAAAACCCGCAAAGACAATGTACGCTCCGCCCACTCACTCCACCCGCGATGGTCTGACCTAATTGTTGTTAACTTTATTTAAATTTCTTTCTACCCGACAGCGAAAATTATAAAAAAAAAATTGTCGAGCAAAATTTTACATTACCAAATTTTTACTGGTTATGAAAAAATAACCCCGTCATTGATAAAATAAAAAAAAGTAGCCTGAGATTCGAACCGGTAAACTTCCATATTACGGCAAACATACTAGAATACTGCGCCAAACTAGTATTATATATATTGTGACAAGGCAAAATTTGATATTAGTTAATACGTATCTGTCATATTCGGCGTGACAAACTTTTATATTTAAGCGTTATGACAGGAGAAGAAAAATATTGGGTTGCCCAGTAAGTTCGTGCCGCTTTATAAGGAAAATTGAAACCCTGTTCTCTTAAATTTTTGGAAATGTTTTTAAATTATATTGGTACGACTCTATACCTAAAACGTCTTTTATTTTTGGCTAAAATTTTAAAAATTAATTTTTATCTCAACCAATGAAATGAAATTATTTACAATATAGAAATTTTTGTGACGTTTGATAATGGTGGAAATCCGAAAATGAATCCACTTCAGCTACAGTCTATTGTAAGCTTTATATCGAAAATCAGAACGAACTTTCCGGACAACCTATAATGTTAATACAAAGTGTCAAATGAATGTAACAGAAGTAGTTTATTCCAAATTGTATCACAAGTATATAGAGATAGAGTTCAATTTTGTCAAATGTACCGATATTTTTGCGCACCTTGACTGCTTCGTTACTTATGACGCTGTGGCTGCTACGATATTTATGAGCATCTTGCATGTACTCATATATTTGACGCTGTGTATGTACCGATGTATTTGAGCAGGGTGAATGTATCTATTATTTTGAGGACTTTTGTTGTACCGATATAATTGATTACTTTTGGTGTACCTATATATTTGCATATCTTGTCTGTGACGATCTATATGACGCTGACTGTACATACGAAATTCAGCTCACGTGAAATTCGAAAATCTAAAATCACATTAATATGTCATGATATGGCGGGGGTCGAATCTGGACGTGCAAATTTATGTGTATTCCGGACAAGCACTTAGCAACTACATGGCAGTGGTTGAGTTTAGAAGACTTTGAACAGATTTTTAGAGCGCTTGATTAAAGAGTAAAACACCTACTTACCTGGATATAGAAAAAAATAATATTTTCTTGTGTTCAAGGTATCAGTTCCCGCCTATGAATCCCCTGTGGCACGGCTTATTGGGTTTCGTGATTGCTGTTCTTGGTTTCATATCGTTATCCGGTAATGGAATGGTCATCTATATTTTCACAACTACAAAGGTAATGAAAACATTTCAGAACAATACGTTTATATAACTTTTTAAAAGCGTCAATAGCCTAATGGTTAAGGGTACGGATTTCCGATCACGAGGTCGGGGGTTCGAATCTCACCATTCGACTATCGTCGTAAACCATATCCTAGCACAAGCTTAGAGCTTAGTTGGAATGGTATAAGAAATATTAGTAAATTTACAAAAAAATCTGCTTTTGTTTTAAAAAAAAATTATAAGATACAAAAAAAAGTAAACAGACACTTGTACAACTAGTAAAAAAAATTTTGTTTTGTTTACAGACTCTTAAAACTCCTTCAAACTTATTGGTACTTAATTTGGCTGTCTCTGACTTTCTGATGATGACATGTATGGCCCCGCCTTTAGTTGTAAACTCGTATCACGAAACATGGGTATTTGGTTAGTATTCATTCCTTTAAAATTAATTAAACGTTTTAATTTAAACACCGGCTAAATAATCTCCATTTAACTTTAAAATTTAACAAAGTGATAATCTCGTCCAATATGAAAAATATTATATTGATTTAAAAAGTTTGCTTTTAATGTTTTTATCACTGTTCCAAAATATTTCTAAGTTTTTTTTCTTATAGGTCCACTGGCTTGTGCTCTTTACGCTGCTGCGGGCTCATTGTTCGGGACTATCTCAATCTGGACGATGACAATGATAGCTTTTGATCGCTACAATGTAATCGTCAAGGGAATCGCAGCTAAACCCATGACTAACAATGGAGCTCTGCTGCGTATCTTAGCTATTTGGGTCTCGTCATTAGCTTGGACTGTTGCACCAATGTTTGGATGGAATAGGTATAATATCATTAAGTTTTACTCCAAGCTTAAAGTCTAAATTGAAGTCTGTAAATATAAAACGAATACAAGAATTGATAACCCAGTAATAGAGTTGTGGATTAGTGGAATAAAGTACTACACCCGTTGTACTCTTTTATGCTTCTTTCTCTTCTTTCTTTCTCTTTCTCTTATTTGCTGTCTCTCTTTTAGAACCCTAAAATTTGAATCTCATGATCATTGGATAGAATAGGTTTATTACTTTGCGTTCTTTTATTTCTAGTATGATTGTATTTTCAATTTATTCAAGCTGTTTTATTTTCACCATTAAATTTTATTTATTCCAGGTACGTCCCGGAAGGCAACATGACCGCCTGTGGAACTGATTATCTGAACAAGGATTGGTTCAGTCGAAGTTACATTGTGGCTTATGCTATTTTCTGCTACTTCACACCATTGGCCCTTATTATCTACTCCTATTTTTTCATTATTCAGGTACAGTGATTAAATCCTCTAGTTCTTTGTGCTTAACATTAATCCATTACTTTTTTTATTATTTTTTTTATTTTAGGCAGTAGCCGCACACGAAAAGGCGATGAGGGAGCAAGCAAAGAAGATGAATGTGGCATCTCTAAGGTCGTCGGAAGCGGCTAATACTAGTGCTGAGTGCAAACTGGCTAAGGTTTTTACCTTTTCGACTTCTCATATGTTTTCTCATACTTATTATTGACTTTCTTTTGTCTTTTCTCAACCTATTCTTGGCTATTCCAGTCATATGCTTTACATAAAGAATGAAACAACTGAACCTCTTTTAACTGTTGAGAATAGAGTCGTTTTACTTACCTCAATAGAAACGTACAAATGGATTTAGTTTAATATGTGTATTGTTTGTTCAAGGTCGCTTTGATGACAATTTCATTGTGGTTCATGGCATGGACACCGTATTTGGTAATTAATTTCACGGGTATCTTTGAGACCGCTACAATCAGTCCTCTGGGTACGATTTGGGGCTCGGTCTTTGCTAAGGCTAATGCTGTTTACAATCCCATTGTTTACGGTATCAGGTACGTACCAAATTTACGTTATTCGGTTCTTAAATTAATGCTAAACATAATATATTACATAACACAAACGGTGATATGTTTTGAATAAAATCCTCTACCTTATTAAAACTGTTTTGGACAAAGATATACTTGATTATCTGCTAGATAGCGCACATTACTTCTTACATCAAACAAATCGATATGTATAATATTTTACAGTCATCCGAAATACAGAGCGGCTTTGTACCAGAGATTCCCATCACTAGCGTGCCAGCCAGCGGCGGATGACAACACGTCGCAGGTATCCGGCAAAACTGCGGTCTGTGAAGAAAAACCATCCGCTTAATATCAACTAAGATTTTATTATAACGACGACGAATGATTGCGAAGAAACGTGGGCGAGCTTTAAAGATATACTATATATATGTGGAACACTATAATGTTGCTATTTTTTATCTAAATTATAAAACAATGCAATAATTAGAATTGTAAGAGATTATTGGACACATGTACATATTTGGTTACTCCTTATAAAGCTTTTAGTTGTTGTTAAATTTTAAATTGTATATTATTCTTATTGAGAATTAATAGTAACGTTTTTGTTTTCTTCATGTATATTTCCTAGTATATTTTTATACAATATATGTTAGCCTGCGATAGTAAAAATCCAAAAAAATACATAGCAAGAATATCGTTTGGTCTAGCATTAATTGTACATAGTTTTATTGAATTCAAATATATAAGCAAAGTGCTAAAAAGGTGCAAAAAATTCTTTTCTTTTTTATTAGTTCCTCCTTTTAAGATAACAACGGGTTTTTAACCTTTGAAAAACATTTCATACACTAAGGAGTGAGTTAAATCAATATAGGAAGATAAAATGTATTCATATTGAAATTTATCGTAATAATAATATTTTTGAGCTTTGGACAAAATCGTAAAAATTATAGAATTATATAACTATTTAACGTTAACTATAACTAGCTGTTGCCCGCGTCTCTGTCGGTTTAAATAAAAAAATATTAGTAGCCTATGTGCTCTTCCAGACTATGTTCTGTACCTATGCCAAATTTCATAGAGATCCGTTCAGCCTAAGCCGTTATGAAGATACCTTCAAACAAACATCCGTCCATCCATCCATCCAAACATTCGCATATTAGTAAGAAGTAAGATTAAAGAACTCAGAAAATTAACTGTATATTACCAATTATTATAAAATAATTTAACTATAAATATCTAAAGAACACATAGAAATATTTTTTTTGTTACATTCATCGTCTGCATTGAAATAGTTTCTTTCATTTATCCGCCTACAGGAAGTATGAGGGAATTGTGTCCTGTTTCTTCCCAAGTATTTTAGTATTTAAAAATGAGATCTTATAATTTTTATACAAAAAATGTACTGAAAAAAAAATCTATTACAATATAATAACTATGGATAGATTTATTATATAGATTTATTTGAATATTTATTTATTTATTTATTTGAATATTTATTTATTTATTGCCACAAACAAGGAAAAGAAAAACTACAAAAAAAACAAGTTAAATTAAATAAATTGAGGATGTGGCAAAAAAAAGGTGGCCAGCTCGGCTGGTGCAGGGAGGTCTTGACCAATCCTGCGGTGGTTTTCAGCTGGCCCCTTTGTTTTTCACATTTACAATTAAAGTAATTTAGAGTAAATAGTAAACCAAATATGGAGAACTGATCGCCAACCTTCGCTAGTCGGAGAGGCACAAGAAGAAGAAGAAGAAGTAGACGAAAAACGAAAGAGAAAAGGCAAGACAAAAGCCCTATGTACTGGATTGGGTTTTTGTCTTCCAGCGCACATATAAATATTCTTTATGACAATACAAATAGAAAAAATATAAAAGAAACTTACCAGTTTTTTTTAATAAGTATCTTAAATATTACGCGAGCTTTAACTTTGATATCTGAAGTCTTTCTTTTACTGTTTGCAATGTGTAAAAATCTATGAAAATGAATCTTAAGTTTTTTAACATATTAAATGAGTTGATATTAGTAATATTATTTTAGAAAAAAAAATAGTTGGAAAATCGATTCAACTGATTTAAAGAATATTATTTGTAAAGCAAATCAATATTATAATATAAAAATTTAAAATTGCATACACTTTTGGCGACTTATCTAGAAGTTTTTGTTACTAAAATAATTTCAATAAACGCTTCAAATATATGTGAATATTTAAAAGGATATCAAAGATATTACGTTACTTTGAAAGACGTAGAACGTTACTTACCCAAGCTCGGTAGAACTAATACTAAAGGCTAATACTACAAATAGTAAATACGCAAGAAAGTAAAGAATGTAAATCTCTTAAAGAATCTGTTTAAAGTTTTATATCTCCTAAGAAATGTACTAATCCTGAAAACATAGAAATGTCTTTATGATTAGAATATTTCTAAGGGTATTAATTCAATTATGTTTTTACAAACAATATAATTGCAATAAATAAAAACACGATTAAAAATATAGTTTCTACAGATTATAAATTTAAAATATTTTATTTTTATAAAGATATTTTTTTGCATACTGTACGTAAAGCTTTTTTATGACTTTTTTTAATCTCTTAATGCGTACAATAGTTTTTTTTAATACGTAGATGAGTACCGAATTAAGATTTTATTTTTTTAATTCATATTAGGAACTTTATGACCTTAACTTTAAAATGGGTTTAATAAAAACTTAAAGTATTGCAGTTTATGAGATTTTTATGATCCATTTTAAAGCTTAATTTATATTAAAATTGTCCATAAAGTTATTAAAACTTAAGGATTAAAAGTTATATATTAAAGTTATCTTTTTAAAAGTAAATTTAAAAGATTTTACAATAATACATTGAAATGCACTGTAGAATATGAAGAGAATTATTTTAAATTGAATATCTTAATAGGAATATAAGTATCATTAGGGATTGTTTTTATGATAATGGACTGTCAATCTTTTGGAATGAAAATAATGCTTTTGGAGCTTAGTGATGGCACCGATTGATGTGGACATTTTCTTTTTGTTATATAGAAAACTTTTTATTTATAACTTCCCTTCAAACCACTTCTTTAACCAACTTCAAAAACTTCTATTTTTCACAAGTTACAATTGAATATATGATATTCTAGACAAACATTTCATTAGTCTAATGGTAATATGGAGATAAATCAAATCAATTATGAACATTAACTTTTCATTAAATTTGAGGTGAATGATAGTATTAGAAATAGTGCTAGGGAAGAAAGGGTTTTGAAGATTTTGTGAGATTAACAAAGAAAATTTATGGCTCGAAAGTAAGCGGTAGTGTCGGTCGGGGTCGTCCCAGATGGACTTATGTCGTCCAGATTGATGAAATACTTAAGGGCGGTATTAACAACACCCAAAATAGAAGTACATGAACTTGTAGATGTATGGATGTAGAAGAAGGGAGAGAGGTATATCTCTGCCTATCCCTCTGGGTAACGAGCATGAGTTATATTGTTGTTGTTGTTGTAACACTTGATGTAATTGAACAGTCGTGTAAAGTAGGTATTATCCTTCTTATTTCTATATCTCATTATGACTATTGTCTAAGCAACATTCTTGTGAGGTGCAACTAATATAAAAGGGGTGCATTGTATGGCAGAAGACGAGTAGGCTCATTATCACAGCCCGGCTTCCTGCCGAGGTAGAAGCAAAAGACTGGAGTAGTTCATTATTTGATTTTCTTCAGTATTTTTGTTTTTACTTAGCAGACTACTACATTGTATAACATTACTGTAAGTATTTTAACTATATATTTATAATACAAAGTCTGTAATATTATAAACAATTTTAAAATCAACTTTTATTTATTTTTCAACTTATTAATAAAGTATATATAATTTTGATCTTTAGCTTTCATAGTCTTATTATTTTCAATGTAAGAGTAAAAGCTAAACTACTTAGAGTTTTTTTTAATTCACAGATAACAAAATGGCGTTAAATTATCTTAACACTGGTGCAGCAAAAATGGACACTTGGAACGGACAAATGTCGGCTTACGGCGCAAACCAAACTGTGGTAGACAAAGTTCTACCCGAAATGCTTCATCTCATTGACCCTCATTGGTACGTAGACTTCTTTCTAATGTGTATTATATCTTACATTACAAATTTGACTTAATAATTTTAATGTTTCAGGTATCAATTTCCCCCTATGAATCCGTTATGGTACGGTTTATTGGGTTTCACCATCACTTGCTTGGCTATCACATCGATCACCGGAAATGCTATGGTCATCTATATCTTCACGACGACAAAGGTTTATAAAAAATATAATATAAACATAAATTAAATCCTGACAAATCTTACTAAAAAACTTTTTTTCTACCTTCTAAAGCCTCTCTAATCCCTCTAATGTGACTTTTACAGAATCTCAAGACTCCTTCGAACTTGCTTGTCGTTAACTTAGCTGTTTCCGACTTCCTTATGATGGCTTGCATGGCGCCACCTCTTATCATTAATTCTTACAACGAAACTTGGGTATTCGGTAAGTGTTTACACCAAAATAATGATTAATATAGTGCCATACTTTAATTTATAGTATCCCTTTAATTTCTCTTACAGGTCCACTGTTCTGTGCGATTTACGCTTGCGGTGGTTCCTTATATGGTACCGTATCAATCTGGACAATGACTGCAATCGCCTTCGATCGATACAATGTGATTGTAAAAGGCATTGCAGCAAAACCAATGAGCATCAACGGAGCTCTGTTGCGTATCTTGGCAATCTGGCTTTCATCACTCGCATGGACTGTTGCTCCAATCTTCGGATGGAACAGGTGAGATTACCTCATCATCATCTTGCTATTACTTCATGATGAATCGTTTTTGGTCTTGCAATTTGTATGCAAATTATTTTTTCCGTGCATTTCTTTATTTCTACTTTAGCTACTACGAAATATATTAATTTCTTTATTATGTTAGACAGCTAATACTAAAGATAAGTTTGTCTTGTTTTTAGGTATGTCCCAGAAGGTAACATGACCGTATGTGGAACTGATTACCTCAGCAAGGACTGGCTTAGCCGCAGTTACATCATCGCTTATGCAGTCTTCTGCTATTTCCTGCCATTGGGTCTCATTGTCTATTCTTACTGGTTCATCATCCAAGTAAGCTTAATAATCTCATTCAAATGGTATATATCAATTGAATTTAGCTTTATATAAACTTTTGCTATTGTTGTTTTAGGCAGTGGCAGCTCATGAAAAGGCTATGAGGGAACAAGCAAAGAAAATGAATGTAGCGTCTCTAAGATCCTCTGATGCTGCGAACACCAGTGCTGAGTGCAAATTGGCTAAGGTATTGTATTCATTAACACTATAAGAATAAAGTTCCTTATTGTTTGCTACAACAATTTTATAATTTTAAATGTCTTTTTCAAGGTTGCTTTAATGACCATCTCTCTATGGTTTATGGCCTGGACTCCATATTTGGTAATCAATTTTGCGGGCGTATTCGAGACGGCACCTATTAGTCCTGTCAGTACAATTTGGGGCTCTGTTTTCGCCAAAGCGAACGCAGTTTACAACCCAATCGTATATGGGATCAGGTAAGTCTTATTTACGGTAGCTATTAATTCAGTCAATTCTTATTTTTCCTTGTTTTTATAGCAGTCGGTAACTCACTTTTATGGACAAATATTGTTGATCAAATAGAACTTGGCGAAATGTTAGAACAGCAAATTATTTGTATTCTTTAATGACTTTATCTAAATCGGTAACTCCAATTATATTTTTTACGAAATAAATTAAAATTTTCTTGTATCTTATACATCATCTGTACAGGATTTGTTAATAAAATTTAACATTATTTCACCATTCCAGCCACCCGAAGTACAGAGCCGCACTGTACCAACGATTCCCATCGCTGGCGTGCCAGCCATCTCCAGATGAAAGTGGGTCTGTGGCCTCCGGGAACACTGCCGTTTGCGAAGAAAAAGCTCCTGCGTAATTATTAATATAGTATTAAGAAGTTAACCAACGATGACGACTTGGAAATGTTTACTGGATCTGATATTTACTGATAAATCGAACACTGAACAAAATAAGTGAAAAACAAGAATCTTCTTATAAATTTTTTCTTCAACAATTAATTATTATTCGATTTAAAGATTTGTGTGCACTTTAATTTTCGGTGTATCGATTCAATTTAATTTAATTTTTTTCAAAAAAAAAGTCGACGTTACAAAAAAATGTAAAAAAAATATGTAGCAAACGTAACGTCAGGCTTCCCTACTATCCTCGTGTGATAATTGAAATTACTTTAAGATGAATTGATTTTACGATGAAAAACGCAATGTAAAATGGACAATTGAGAAAGCAATAAATGCAACCAAGCAAAGTGGTATAAGACCGCAAATATTTTTTTTGTTTTCATTTTTAATTATTATTCCATACTTATTCCTATTGAACGAACCACAAATACTTGGTGGAAAAAGGGTTTAACAACTATGCAAATATAGTATAGAAAACGACACACTATTATCCTTATCCATCCTATATGCACGAATGTAAGTGCTTTTATGTTTATTGATACAAAAATTCGACAAAAAATATAGTTAATTTATTCTAAGGAAAGTCACTTAGTAAATTCAAAATATGTTTACTATAATAACAATAATAAAATTGTCAAGTCGATTGTACGAAAAAATATATTCTCTATGTTATTTCGTATAAAGAAAAGTTTATGCGGCCCAAATTTTCACGATATTTTAGCCGTAAAAATATTGCTACATTTCTCAAAAGTTACAAATGGACAAATGGCAAAGTTCAGAGTTAAGACAAAGACTATGGAGTGTTTGGATTGTTTTTTAAATCGTAATAAAACAACATCAACGAAATATTTCATATTCAAACTTTTTTCTCAAATACCATAAAATATTAAAAAAAGGTTTTTCATTTTTAAATATTAAATAAAGTAGAATCAAATTATAGGAGACTAATTAGAGTATAAATTCCCATAGAAGCAAAGCTCATTAAATGAGGCGTAAGATCATAATAAAAATACCTTTCAATCAGGATAATACCGACAAGACGATATTATCTTGATATAGATTATATTCCAGTTATGTGTCCTTATGTACAAATAGTTTGAACAAATTTAACGTCTTCAGAATGTGCAAATATTTATGTAATGATGAAGATGGTTAGCTAAAATTTACTCCCGTTTCTAACATGATGAACAAATTTAATTTATTGTTGACAATGAGCTTAATAACATATGCTAAGAGATGACTAACTTCATCGTTATGTTATGGAATGACTAAAGAAAAATTTTAAGAATTACTAATCATTTTATTAAGTACAAATAATTTACACTTAAAATGATTCCAAGTTGACCATTTGACAGTGAAAAATAGTGAATATTTTTGCTATTATATTTTATAAGTAACAATCCCTAAAGAGTCTCATTTTCTATTCCTGTTTTGAAATCAAAGGTGAAGTAAAGTCATAAAGAAAAATGCGTTCACGTAAATCATATAAGAATTTATTTACATCAAAAACATAAGCTCATTCATTACACGCTCTCAAAGGGACTCGTCTTATAACATTTCATAATTTGCTACGAAAACGTGTCCCTTGACGAATGCTTTCATAATATAAAATAATATAACCTTTTATATGATCGAAAAATAGTAAAGACTCATTTTATGATACACTAGCTGTAGCCCGCAACTCCGGCCGCAAGGTATTAAAAAAAAACTTAACAAGTAGCCTATATGTTCTTTCAGACTATGTTCTACGTCTGAGGCGTCATGAAGATACCTTCAAACAAACATCCATCCATCTATCCATCTAAACATTCGCATTTATAATATTATTATAGTAAGATTAAATAAATTAACAACAAGCACAGCTTCGCATCGCTATTAACGCCCACATATTTTATAGTACTTTCGTTTCGTACGACTCAAATAATAATTTCTTATCATTTTAATTAAATTATAAATAAACAAGTAGTAACTTTAAATTAACTAGAATTAAAATTTCCACTGTTTTAATTAGTATTTTTACTTAAATATAAATATTACTAGATTTAAGAAATAGTTTTGTTTCACTTATTGCTGAAGAAAATTAATTGAATTGCAATATTTTTACCTACTTTAATCTTCCGACCGACCCGCATTTCTCTTCATAATATTAGGTCATAGAAGTCGCATCAAAACTTCTCGTAAAGTCATTCTTCACTGCGTCCCTTCGCATCTAAACAAATAGCTCAACCGAGCCCGAGAACATACGGGAAGTTAAGAATTACTCTTGCCCTATGGAATTAGTTTTAGAGGGATTGTTACTTAAGAGATAAAATATCAGTTGTACGGTGCAATAAACTGCGTAAAATATGCCTATAACTTGTGGGTAAGCAGAACCAAATGCGTAACTAAGACTAGTGGTCGCCTGCGACTCCGTCGAGCGTCCGCGAGTAACCTATGTGTTCTTCGAGACTGTGTTCTATATGTACGCAAAATTTCATCGAGATCCATTCCGCCGTACAAGTGATACCTTCAAACAAACATCCATCCATCATTTATAATATTAATAAGACTCATTTATATAATTAATTTTTAATGATTTTAATGAAATGATTAAAGTTTAATTGATGTGTATAATAATTTACTGTTACAATATGATGCATGTAGATTTCTTTTGTTCGTATTGGTTTTACACTTTGTTATACTTTTTGTATCTTTAATGATATGAGAAAATTTTTATTACGTAGAAAATGTTAATAATCTACTCACTGTCAATGAAACTTTGCACAATACTAAACAAAATTCCATCTCGAGATAGTGATTTTACCAAAACTTGTAACTTTCGTGAAGTCTTCAAAGCCTATGTTTAATCATATATCCTTCGGAAACTTTAGTTCTGTATCAAACACACTCGATGTGAATGAAGTTTGACAACTTCGGCAAATTTCGGTACTCGTTAAATAACTAACTAACAGTTGCCCGTGGCTTCTAGCGAGTGGAATTAACAAAATGTAGGACTTAATATAGGCTGTCAACCGAGTGTAATGTGGCATAATAACAATGAAAGAATGTTTCAAATCGGTAGTTTTTGAGTCTTTTCAATACAAACAAACAGTCAAATCTTTTTATTTTATAATATTACGAGTAGTGTAGACTATTTTTAGCAGATGAATATTATAAAGCTTACCACATCTGTCACTCTATTTTAATTAAATAAACTCAAAAACTACTACACTGTTATAACTAATGATAAAAATGAAATAATTGAAGTGTTGAAAATTATAATGGTAACCTACGAAACCTTGTAAATTTTTATTGTATGTTAAAATCAACTGTTATACGATAAGATGGTTGAAGATTCAAAAGCGTTTGGCTCCATCCAGTCATGGTCGAGAGAAGCAATTAGCTCTCTAAGTAAATTCAATTAAACTTGTTTCCATTTCATTACAGACAAAGGATAGGGAAATTAGTTACTCGGAGATTTGCTTCATTGAATTTCTATCGTTAGTCTTCTTATACAATGTGATTGTTTCCGGATCTTATTGTTTGTTTCAAAACATGTTTAGATCTTTGATAAACCGATTGAAATAAGAAATAGAATGCGAACTAAGTAATATCCAAAGTATAGCTGTTGCCCGCGACTCCCGCCACATATAAAAAAATAGATTGTAGTCGATTCTTAAACCGTTTCGGAGGAGCATTGTAACTAACATTGTAACAAGAATTTTATATATAAGGTATACATAAGGGTGGAAAGTTATTATTTATATCTAAAGTTGAGATAGTGGCTATAATTATAGATGTACGCTCAGCAAGTTATATTACCTAATATGTAAATTAGTTTCTACAATCATTGTAAGTTATTCCGGAGCCGTACTATACGGAGCATAAGCCGGGATGAACGCTTTAAATTGAGGGTAATTGAAATTTACTAAAGTTGCTTTAGTTGAAATTTGAGCACACGATAAGCCTATATATATAGATAAGGAAGGCAACGCATATGCAATTGCGTATGTCTAAGGGCAACGGTCACTTCGCTATTTCAACGACTTCAGGTGGCCGCTCGCTCGTTTGCCACCTTATGATATAAAAAAAATCCATGCGGTCACGCTTTTTGGTGGACGACGCATATCAAACTAATGACGTGAATAAGATACCTTAAGTTACGATATTTATGACCATTAATATTTTAACAGTGGTAGACGCTAGCAAGTTGTGTGTTGCACGAATGAGTTGAGAGGTTAGACAAAATGCATTCGCTTCCAAGCGATTCCATAGCAAACTACAAAAATGTATGAAACTGACACGCGACAATCGCGTGAGTAATCGAAAGTTATTGTCAGTTCCATACATTTTTGAAGTTAGTTATGGAATCGCTTCGGAGCGAATGCACTTTGTCTAACTTCTTGTCTAATTTTAATCTTCTTCTCATCCCTACAATTTTTTATAAGAAAATAATGGTAAATGTACGTATATTTGGCAGAGGAGGGGACATATAGGAAGGGGATATATCCTCTTTCTGTGAAAGAGCAATTTTATAATAGAGCTTAGTACTTGCCAACCAGGTGCCTTATAACTTACGTATAAAGGATAAATTTTCACACTGTATTTTTAACATGCATAATATTGGCTTGCTTATTATAATTTATTCCAAGCGAATATATAATTCACTGGCAAATAATAGCATTATTAATTTTTCAGTGTAACTACTATGGTTATTAATCTGAAGTAATATGGATTTAAGAAAGGTAAGATTTACGGAATGTGTTAAACATTGTAATTAGTTTCTCATCTCTAGGGACAGCGCACTTTAATTAGTTCGTTACACTACTTCGTGTTCACAATAATAATATACTTCTTGATTAATTCCTACATAATTAAACAATGTAACATTTTATAGATGAATATATAGTCTGAAGGATTATATTTGGTAATTAAATTATATTTGGTTGAACATGAAGTTTTGAATTGTACTATTTTATCTCGGTTTCAGTCTCAGCGAGCGTCGGTGGCTCAGGGGTCAAGCACTTGCAATCTGCAGGTCCTGGGTTCGAATCCCGCCATGTACCCCCCCGTTTTTACGGTGAAGGAAAACATCGTGAAGCAACCTTCACATATTTGAGAAGAAATTCAAAGATATGTGTGAAGCCAACCAACCAGCACTGGGCCAGCGTGGTTGGGTTGACTATGGCCTAGTCACCCCTAACTTAGGGTAGGCTCCTAGCCCCTCGGTGGGGACGTATAGTGAGCTGACGATAATGACTATTTTATCTTACTAATATTATAAATATTTTTGTTAGTAGATATCTCCAGAATTGCTTAACATATCTCAATGTAATGCACAGATGTTGACCATATTTTGGTATATGGTCTGTTATCAATAGGCTATTT